TTTCGGACGCCATTTCCCCCGCGCGACATCCGCAAAAATCCTCGCAGCATGTACGCGCGTGTGCCGCAGGAGATGGCGCAATTTGTTCTAAAAATGGAATTATTGTCCCATATCATGGGGACAACCCCAATACTAGAAATGGCGCGCGCTTACGGTCTCCGTCCCCGATTATGGCTCCTGGTAGGAATATAATAGTGTAAAATAAGCTATGAAACTTAATATGAAATAGCACGCCAAATTTCTCCATACCCGATGACCGTTGATTTGGAATCCACACAGACTGTGGAGCAGTAAAGTTTCCACCATCTAAATTGCTGTAAGCTTGTAGCTAGAGAGAATCAACAGGTATACATCAGTTAGTCAGTAAAATATAGTTTTATACTCGGACGAACAAGCAAACTCATAGCATTACGTGGTACACATTCCTGAGACATCTGTCACACTGGTAAAGAAATGATACCATGAGAAGAATTGTAGATGAATTTTCTCTTCCGGAAGGTAAGGGGTAGTTAACATCTGCATACGAGCTAATTGAGTGGCCCGTCAGGTCGGCGCTTATCTCCAGTTTATATGCAGCATGAAGCAACCAGTAATGTTTCTACTCCTCTCTGGATGGGATGCTAGTCCATCGCAGGGTTACACGCAGCGTTAAATTTGCCGGTACTCAATATTATACACCTGGGTGGAGAGAAGCACTGTGAGCGTAAAGTGTCTTGGCCAAGAACACGACACAATGTCCACGGTCAGGGCTCCAACCCGGACCGCTGGATCCGGAGTCGAGCGCACTAACCATGAGGCCAGCACGCCTCCTCATCTTCAGTAAGCTCTAGTTTTGCTCCATGTCACCTAATTGGTAAACACCCTCATAGTCTGCGCCTGGCCTAATTGGTTTTCAAACCCATTCGCTGGATCCCGGATCGATTGATCTGGGTTTGAGTCATGGCAGAGTTAAGCCGGCGCCGAGAACTATGAGCCAGTTGGAATTCAGAGGCTTTACTCATAGACCTCCCTATGGCAATTATCAAGGGGTTTGTCATATCTGTTACATTGTTTACCTAACCTTAATAATATAAGTTACTCCTTCTGCAAGTCCTTTAAGATAGAAACTGAAAACATTTCCAGTTTCTATAATACGAAACTCCTTTTGGGTGTTGGACTTGAAATAGATCTGTCAAAAAGAAACAAGACTAGTACATGTACACAGTTTGAAACTAATATTTAACGAATAAAGAAGCCTCGACTGTACTCTGTTTTGTTGTAAAGCACGCAGGAAGCGGTAAATGACGAAAGAAGTGTAGGGGAAAACACGTGACGTAGTAATTATAAGAACTAATACACAATTCTCCCTGTGTTCACAAAGAACTTTAAGTCCTGAACCTCGCCCGAAACTTTGAAGGCTGCACCATCAAAGTTTAGACTTCAAAATAAACACTCTTCAATGGAGGAGGAGTGGGAATTGTATCCTGTGCAAATGCTATGTTCCTCTCACGTTAAAGCAATATTTTCTATTGTGTCCAAAAAAAAAAAATCCCTGATTTTTATTTCATACAAATTCTCCTGCCTACAATGCCCCGTTAACCAAACATATTTTCTTCAACTAAAGCCATTGACCCTCTAATGAACAAGTGTAAAGAAGTTCTTACTTTGTAATTAGTGATCACATGGCAGTAAACTAATGGAGACTCCCAGGTTATCTGTAATGAGCCGTCATCTTTCAATGCACAATGCAGATTTTGTGGAGCAGTGGTTGCTGGGAAAAAAAGAGGATGTACAGTAACTGTAGCCTCTTACGAAGACGATTGCTTGTCGAGCCCAGAGAGCGTCTTGGTAGAAGGCTATACATTAAGAACAGCTGCTATTGAAACACACAGCACATGCCTACAACCGGAAAATGAGGCGATCTACACCGCGGAGAGTGTAGGTACAGTATGGTTGTCGGTAGTAACCTGGTGTAAAGGTTATGTAGGTAAAACTGCCTGCCAGTCGCTTTCTAAATCTGCGGGGTCACTTATTTCGATATTAACATTCTGGCAGTGTTTCCGAGGCGGAGAACAATACTTTACATCAATTCAAGAGACTACCATCTGTCAACGTCTCTTGGTCATATTTAATTTATTTATCCCTAATCATCGATCTGATTATATAATGCTATGTTCCCTCTAAGCGTCGGAGCTAATCTAGATTGCTGTATGGTTAATTGTACTATTTCGATGATAACCCTGGCCATATTCTTGTGCGGGAGGTTTTTTTTTTTTCTTTTTGTGAGGTTATTTTCGGAGAGAATTAATTAAGAAAAGAATTCCACGTTAACAGAATCACCGCTTTTCTATCTGGGAGGACGTCACACCAATGCGACAATGAGATCATTATTTTAAAATAATCCGTAAAATATTACCATAGCGTAAGAAACAGGGGAGGTTTACAGTTAAACGATTTTGTCATCAAGTTCCTTGAGGAAGGTTAGTTACTAAGGGAGAAGTGATTGTCGCAATTTTCCTTACCGATATTTGATGTAAGATTACGTTTAGAATTACGTTCGCCTGGCACGTTACGGCAAAATTAATTCAGCCCAACTGAACCTCACTCATGTCTTGTGACAGGCAATCTTTATTCAATCAGCTGAATTCTATTGGGTTCAATGTGGAACTTCCCTTCGCGCTTATACAGTTAGCTGGAAGTAACTTGACAAGTGGGAACTCCCTGAGTCGAGTAACGATCACACAGTATCCAAAATGTAATCGTGA